ACAAAATAGGTATACAAGGGACACAGGTTAATGTAATAAAAGCCATCTATGACAAACCCACAGTCAACATAATATGAATGGGGAAAAGTTGAAAGCATTCCCTCTGGGAATGGGAACAAGACAAGGATGCCCACTCTCACCACTCCTCTTCAACATAATACTGGAAGTCCTAGCAAGAGCAATCAGATGAGGAAAAGAAATAAAGGGCATCTAAATTGGTAAAGAGGAAGTCAAACAGTCCCTGTTTGCTGATGGTATAATTGTTTACATGGAAAACACTAAGGACTCCTCCAGAAAGCTCCTAGAAATGATACAAGAATTTAGCAAAGTCTCTAGATATGAGATTAATGTACACAAATCAGCACGTCTTCTATACACCAACAGCCACTAAGCAAAGAAACAAATCAAGAACTCAACCCCTTTTACAATAGCTGCAAAAACTAAAATACTTAGGAATATACCTAACAAAGGAGTCAAAAGGCCTCTACAAGGAAAACTAAAAAACATTGCTGAAAGGAATCATAGATGACAACAGCAAATGGAAACACATCCCATACTCATAGATGAGTAGAATTAATATTGTGAAAATGACCATCTGCAAAAAGCAATCTACAAATCCAATGTAATCTCCATCAGAATACCTCAATCATTCTTCACAGAGTTAGAAAAAACAATTCTAAAATTCATATGGAACCGAAAAAGATCCCACATAGCCAAAGAAAGACTAAGCAAAAAGAACAAATCTGGAGGCATCACACTACCTGATTTCAAACTATACAATAAGGCCATAGTCACAAAAACAGCATGGCACTGGTATAAAAATAGGTACATAGGCCAATGGAACAGAATAGAGAACCCAGAAATAAACCCAAATATTTACAGCCAACTGATCTTTGACAAAGCAAACAAAACATAAAGTGGGGAAAGGACAGCCTTTTCAACAAATGGTGCTGGGCAAGCCACATGTAGAAGAATGAAACTGGATCCTCATCTCTTACTGTATACAAAAATCAACTGAAGATGGATTAAGGACTTAAATCTAAGATCTGAAACTACAAAAATTCTAGAAGATAACATTAGAAAAAACCTTCTAGACATTGTCTTAGGCAAGGAGTTCATGACCAAGAACCCAAAAGCAAATGCAATAAAAACAAAGATAAATAGCTGTGATCTAATTTAACTAGAGAGCTTTTTTCAGGGCAAAAGGAACAGTCAGCAGAGTAAACAGACAACCAAAAGGGTGGGAGAAAAATCGTTACAATCTATACATCTGACAAAGGACTAATATCCAGAATCTATAACAAACTCAAACAATCCCATCAAAAAGTAGGGTAAGGACATAAATAGACAATTCTCAAAAGAAGATATACAAATGGCCAACAAACATATGAAAAAATGCTCAACATCACTAATGCTCAGGGAAATGCAAATCAAAACCACAATTCGACATCACCTTACTCCCGCAAGAATGGCCATAATACAAAAATTGAAAAAGTGGATGTTGGCATCATGTGATGATCAGGGAACACTTCCACACTGCTGGTGAGAAAGTAAACTAGTACAGCTGCTATGGAAAACAGTGTGGAAATTCCTTAAACAACCAAAAGTAGAATTGCCATTTGATCCAGCAATCCCAATACTGAGTACCTACCCAGAGGAAATAAGTCTTTATTCAAAAAAGAACTTGCATCTGCATATTTAGAGCAGCATCATTCACAATTGCAATATTGTTGAAACAACCCAAATGTCCATCAATCAACAAGTGGATAAAGAAACTGTGGTATATATGTATATGATGGAGTAATACGCAACCATAAAAAGGAATGAATTAGTGACATTTGCAGTGAACTGGACGAGATTGGAGACTGTTATGCTAAGTGAAGTAATTCAGGAATGGAAAACCAAACGTTATATGTTCTCGCTGATATGTGGGAGATAAGCTTTGAGGATGCAAAGGCATAAGAATGATACAATAGACTTTGGGGACTTGAGGGGGAAATGTGGGAGGGGTCAGGAGATAAAAGGCTGTAAATATGGTGCAGTGTACACTGCTTGGGGGATGGGTGTACCAAAACCTCAGAAGTCACCATTAAAGAACTTACTCATGTAACCAAATACCACCTGTACCCCAATAACCTATGGAAAAATAAAAAAATTAAACAACAACAACAAATGTTCATCACAGTGTTATTCATAGTAGCCCCCAAACTGGATGCCATCTAAGGTACATCAACTGGTGAATGGACAAACACAATGTGGTATGTCCATGCAGCGGAATACTACTCCACAACAAAAAGGAATGAAGAATTACTGACACATGCTACAATGTATGTAGATGGTCCTCTCAAACATGATTGATGAAATAAGCCAGACATAATATGGTATAGTTCCATGTGTACAAAATGTCCAGAAAAGGCACATCTCTAGAGATAGCAGATTGGTGGGGCTGAGAATGGAAGCAGAGGTTGCCTGTAAATGGGCATGACAGATATTTTTGGGGTGATTGATAGATATATTCTATAATTGGATTGTTGTGATGGTTGCATAATTCTCTGAGTCTACTAACAATATTATTTAGTTATGCATTATTATGGGTAAATTTTTTTATTATTTAAATATATCACAATAAAACTGAATTTAAAAATTAACAGATTCTGTTCCTCAGAAGAAAGTACTAAAAGAGTGAAAAGGCAAGTCATAAGTTGAGGTAAAATAGTTGCAAAACACGTAGTTGGTAAAGGACTACTATTTACAATACATTGAGAAATCCACAAATCAATAAGAAAAAGACCAACAATTCAGTGAAAGGACACAAAGCTCAGGGAGGCACTTCACAAAAAAGAATATCCAAAGTGATCAACAGGCAAATAAAAACATGCGTTATGACACTGATAATCAGTTAAATGAAAATTAAAGTATTATTAATTACCGCTACACCTATACCAGACTGGCTAAGTTTAAAGGAGTGACAATACCAAGTGTTGGAAGGAACATGGAGTAACCGTGACTTTCATACATTGCTTATGGGCAGTAGGTTAGTACAACCCCTTTGCAGTACTGTTTGGTACGTACTAATGCTACACATATGTGAAGCCTATGACCTAGCAACTTTAATCTTTGGTATGTACTCAGAAGATTTAGTTCTTATGGCAATCAAAAGATAAGCACAGTATAAAATTTCATAGCAGCATTATTTTAAACAGCATCAAATAAAATATAATACAAATGGCCTACTAAAAATGTTTTCTATCTTGATCTGGGCAGTGGTTAAACAGGTGAAAGAGAGACAGAGAGAGAGTGTGTGTGTGTAAAAATATTTCTCAGCTGTACATATATTTGTACATTTTACTGTATGCATTTTATAAAATAGTAATCAAAAAGCAAATAGATTTATGCATCAGCTTCATTTTGTCAACATAAACACAGGTTGTGTAGTTCAGAAACTAATGAAAATTTTACTTCTGAAGTGAGTTAGAACAAGGTTGAAGGTATGGGGAAGAGATGAACCTTCCTTGAATATATCTCTTCATGTAGTTTTGATTTCTGAATCACATTAATATTTTAAATATTCAAAGATAAAATTACATCAGTGAGACTGAAAACATAAATTTTAGGGGATAGCAGCAGAAACAGAGATGTTGACAGGTAATTTCATCTGTTATTTTACAATTTCCAGTCTTTCTTGGAGGTAGGTTGAGGCCATAGGACTAGTTCTAGCTCAAATGCTCTAAGTAAGAGCCTCTGGGCTGAAATGCGGAACACTGACCTGATTCCTTCCCTGATTTAGCAATCATGGAGGTCACAACCACAATTGCTCGGAAGTTTCCCAACTTGCACTAGAGTTTCAAGAGTGAGAAATAAATATTTTTGATTTGGAGGTTGTTTTGTTGCCTTAGTCCTCAGCAGAGCCTAGTCTATTCTGACTATGTCAGGGATGACACAAAATTGAGGCAAATTGTTGAGCGGGAAGAGGTGTAGTGGTTGTATCAGGGGAAGTGGAGAAAGTGATAAATGGTTTTCTATAGTCCTGAGAAGAATAAACATGGGAAAATTTATGGAATGTTACAGTTAGAAGAAAACTAGAGACACAACGAGACACAACTTTATCCCTTTCAGTATAAGACAAAGAAACTCAGACCAGAAGGACTAATGATCAGGTCAGGAGCACATAACAAGTTGTTACAGAACAGGTTGCTATGGGTGGAGGGTATCCAGGTTCTTGGCATCTTGAACAAAGAATTGGACAAAATGCACAAACCAAGCAAAGAAAGATTGAAGCAACAAAGACAGAGATTGAATGAAAATGAAAGTACACTCCACAGGGTAGGAGTAGGCTGGTTACAGAATTTTCTGGGGTTTAAATATCCTTTAGAGGTTTCCCATTGGTTACTTGGTATATATCCTATTAAATGAAGTAGAGGCTCGTGATCAGTCTGATTGGTTGCAGAAAGTGACCAATCAGAGGCTGAAGTGAAGTTACAAAGTTATATAGCTCTATGCAAATGAAGACCTGGCCCATGACCAGCCTGATTGGTTGTGGTAGGGGACCAATCAGAGGCACTTTCAGCTTTTCGTCTGCCATGCAGAAGAAGGGAGGGTGGCAAAGGGAGTAGCCTCTGGTCCTTTTGTTACTTGGGCATGGAAAGTTGGAGTTTTCCTTTTGATTTAGTTCTAAGAAGTCAGAGTGAATCTCGGCTTTAAGTTTCCTGCCTCCAGACCCTATCCTCCTGCCTCGAGGTGAACTCTCAAATTAGCACTTTCCCAAGAAAAGAATTCAAGGGTCAGTCAGTGGTGTTAGAAAGCCATCTTTTATTGAATGGTTCTGCTCCTTGAAGGATGGTAACTCATAGGCATTGCACCCAGAGCCTAAAATGCAGGGTCTCCTGGCAACTGCATTTATACTCACATACACCACTTTCAAAGGGAGGCCATTGTCACATCATCACAGGTCAGCCAATCAGGGGGACACCTCCCTTCAATGACCTCCCTGTCCCATAGGAGTTCTCAGGCAGCTTCAATGGAAGGAGGGAGCCAAGAAGGGGGCCTGGTATAAATTCAGAGATGATAATTACAACCTGGATCGTGTATATTCTCGCTCGAAAAGGTGTAGGGCTTCCCTTCCTACCAGTAACCAGTTCGGTAAGCAGCTTGGTGCTAGTCACAATTTCTCATATATCATCTCCCCCTCTGGGGCCCTGCTGCATGTCAGAGAGATCTTACCAATAATTTTGAGTAACAGGGCGGGGGTGGGTGGGAGGAGCTGGGTTTCTAGGTTTTCTGAGGTCACCAACTTGTCAATTTGTTCCAGGACATTGACGTTGTGGAAAGCGAGGCTGTATCTGTAGTACAGCACTGGTTGAAAAAAGTGAGTAAGATTTCTCTATGACTCAGGGTATCCAAAATCCTAAAGAGCTGGTCTCAGTGGGTGTGAGGATCTGGACTTCCTTCTTCATGGAACTGGAACTCAAGTTCATTGGCAGACGCCCTCCCCAGATTTGAGTCTAATTTCTTCACATGTCCTGGAGGACACTGTGGCTTGTGTCCTGGTAGGAAATGTGTTAGCACCGCCACTAAAGCCATCCTGCTTCTCAAGCATTCTGACTTGAGGGTTCCAGCTGCATCCTTTCCAGCTCAGGGGTGTCTCAGGAACAGCTTGGGATAGGGCCGGGGACTTAGGGAGTTCCGAGGACATCACAGGAAAGTAGCTTATCGCAGGAACAGTGAGGTAAGGAGTGTGTGTGTGTGTGAATATGTGGTGTGTGAATTGTGATGGAGAAGGAATAAACAGGAAGGAAGAGGAGAAGAAGACTCAGGGTTGGATGCAGAGTGACACTTTCAGAGGGAATTGCTCACCTTTCAGACAGAAGAAGAGGCTTCTCGGGGCATAAAGGAAAAGCTGTCCATCAACTACCCTTCCCAGGGCATAAGGGAGAAGACGTCCATTGACTCCCCTCCCACCCATGGCCAAGACGTCCATGTGACCAGAGATGTGGTAACTAAGAGTTTGAAATGTTGCCTGGGAGTGGGGGTGAGGGAGAAGGGAGAGGCAGGAGGTGCACCATAAGTGATTCTGGGCAAGAGTGAGGTGCTTGTCTGGGCTCTGTGCCAGGCAAGCTGGGGGCCACGGTGGGCAGGAATCACATGGACCCCTTTGGATTTCCCAGGTGAAGCACCACCTCTCTAAGTCTGATTTGTCAGCAAATCAGAGCCAGGAGGTCTTGGAGGAGAGAACACGAATCCAGTTCATAAGATGGAGGTAAAGCGTCCCATTTGCCCTGGGTGAAGGGGGAGAGGGACAGGGACAAGGGGACATGTGCAAGCCCCTCTCCACACGAACCCACAGATGCTCTTCTCTGGAGATGCTTTCTTTGGCTGGCAAATTTCTCAGCCTTGCTTTGGGGTCTTAAGGGAATATTCTTGCTATCTTGAAAGCCCAACTCATTTCTACATTTTTAAATGACTTGAGGGGTTGGAAAACTGGGCTTGCACTCCATTTCTTAAATGCTTCTGAATACATTTCAGACTTCTGTTCTTTTTGCACTTGAGTTGCTCAGAAGTGGCTGCACTTTAAAGAGCTAAAAGAAAATAAGCTCTTAAAATGCAGAAGCCAAAGTTGTCATCTGCAACTGAGGTGTGTGGAGGCTTCCCAGCGCTTGAGGCTAGAATTCTGTGCTCGGTTATGGTGGCTTTACCAGCCTCTCGGGTGCCTGCCAGTGCACAGCCATCCCCGCCGCCTCTGCTGGCTCTGCAGACGCTGAGTCACGAGGCCCAGGGAGCTGTCCTGAAGCCATCACTCTTCCTTTCCTGCACCTGTGTTCACTGGGGGTCTCTGGAGCACATCAGCCACCCTTCCCAGGAAAGGGACTAAGGGCTCAGACTGGTCCTCCAGGAAACTGAGGGAACCCTCTCCGCTTCCTCCTTTCTTTTCCCTTTCCCTGCCTTGTCATTGGCATTGATCTCTTGTATCAAGGAGGCTCCATTTCTCAAGAAAGGGTTTTCATGTGCTCACCCCTTTTAGTGGCATCTGCCTTTTAAGAAGATTCAAATGCACAGTAATTACATAACCGAAAGGAATAACATGGCGGGATTTGAGACCTCCCTGGGAAACAGTTTTTTTGGATGGGAAACCTTCTGAGGCCCCTACAACCATAAATGTTGTTGGTTATAATCCAGGCTTTTTTGTGCCTGACGTGGTTGTGCTATGGCATTGCATACATTGTGCTCTTGGTTTGGATAACACACACATCATCTGCCAATATTTAAAAAATCTTGGCTGTATGACAAGACTAGGTTTAAGCTTTGGAGACAGCCTGCAGGAATCAGTCAATTATCTACTTATAATTTTTCCACTCTGGATTTTCTACAAAGATTTTAAACCGAAAACCTCTGCTTGCCTTCCTCCACAGCCCACTCATGTTGGTGTCCCCCTCTTATGGAAATAAGTATGTAGACAGGAAATATATCCCTTTATGAAGCATTGTTGAATGTTCCTTTGTTTGATAGGCATGTACTGGCCACCTGGTGTTTGCTAGGCTTTTGGAAAAAGAGAGAAAAGAATACGACGTAGTCCCCAGTTTCAAAGAGTTGAGAGTTAGCTACATGGATAAGGTGTGTACTAGTTAAAGGGAAGCCCTGCGGAGTATCTGGGAGAGCGTGGCGTGGGCGACCCAGGTCACAGAAGCGCTGGGTCCCACTGCCCGGGGCACTCAGGAAAGACTGCTAGTGGACTGTTTGCTGGGACTGGGCCTAGAACTGGTGACCTGGGCAGGAACTGGAGAAATAGCAGCCGGGAGGGTGTCTGGAACTTTATAGCACAGGAGCCTGGGCAAGCTGACCAATCCCACATGGCCTCCAGGCCCAGCGCTACTGCCCCTTCTTCTCTGAGGCCTTCCCCTTTCCTCCTAGGACAGGGCTCCCTGCCTCCTCTGGGATCCCTGAATTCTTTATCTTCCTCTCAGGCCAAAGACCTTGCTCTGCCATGCAGGAGCAATATTCATGAGCCCACCTTACCTCCCATTGGCTGTGGTCATTGCTGCAGCATCCATGCTGTCATCACTGTCAAAAGTCCCTAGCATTACTGAGAAAGCGCTGTCTACAGAGACAGAACTAGGGTGTTCAGTGGAAAGAGGGGGGCCTCATGAGGGGAAGGATGGGAAGGGAGGTGAAGTGGGCCAGAGGCAGGAAGGTGGAGGCAGCACAGTGAAACAAAGCAAGGAGGCTCCCCAGGAGGCCCTGCAGCTTCCCCGCCATAGGGCTTCCTAGAATTATCTCTGAACCACAGTGGGTTTGGGGTGATGCAGGTCATCAAGAGCTGGTGATAAATTGGAGAGGAATTCAGAAGGGTGAATTCAGAAGGGTGAATTCCATGGCTCACGAGAGCACTGCCTGCTGCTTTCTGTAAGGGAGCTCAACTCTGTGTTCCTGGCTCTCCCTGGGACGGTCTGCTACCTGTTCAGCATTGCTGGGGGCTCAAGGGTACCTGGTTAGTAAAAAAAGCTTTGTGCTCATGAGTCAAGAAGGGGAAAAGACCACCTCAAAAGTTCCTGGTGTCAGGGCAAGAGCCACTGTTCGCAGGATCCCAACTCCAGCCGTTCTCCATGCCTGGTAAGAAAGAAACTCAGATCCCATATGCCAATGTATGAATGGCCTTTTGCAGCCACACTCGTATCTTCCAAGTGCCAAGTGAGATGACAGAACACATCATGCGAGATCGAATAGAGCAGGTGAGACGAAGGTAAGCTGTTTGGGACTGGCTGATCTGTGTTCCTGACTGGGGGCAGGCAGAGTGGGGGTGACTGCTGGGTTTTCTGCCCATGCCCAGCAATGCTCTCTCTGGTACGCCAACACCAAGAGCAGGGGCATGCAGTTCACAGGGCTGTGTCCTGTCTTCTGTGCTTCACGTGACAGGGTTTTGCCAGCCTTTCATGGTGTCTGCCAGTGCATGGAAGGGCTCCAGGCTGAGGGCCTGTCCATGTGACTCTGCTCCCAGGTCCACTGCAGCCACGACCCAGGCATGGCTTGCCCTCCCACCCCAGCCCCTGTGCTGTGGTCTGGGTAGGCTCTGCTGTCAGGCAGCCTCCCTCCACCTGGCCCTTCTTCTCTGTTCCTTGCAGCATATCACATCTTACAGATTGCTCATCTCAGGACTCCAGTACGAGACCCTCCTACTGGGACTGCTAAGAGCAACAGGTGAGAGAGCTGACGGATGAGGAACTGGGCAGAGAAGATGGTTATCCTGGACAGTGGGAAGGGGCACCACAGTGGGGAACTTGGGAAAGAGGCTTAGCCTTTCCCTACTGGAGAAGGGCCAGTAGAGGCAGGTGGGGGCTGGCTGTCTTGGAACTTGACGTCAAGTTTCATATTGGCTTCCCTGACTCTGTGGTGTCAGAGAGCACTGCCTCTCCATCATTCGTGGGCCTGGGCTCCTGTGTTTAGGAGATTGTGGTGGAGCCTGCAATTTCGCATTTCTAAAACTTTCTGGGCATTGTCACGTCTGCTGACCTTGCCTTGAGTCACAGATGGCAGTGTAAGGAGTGATGCTGCGTAGGTTTTAGACCTGCCACCAACTCGGGATGTGACTTTGGGTCCCATGGTCTCCTTCCCTTGTACTTGGCCCAGTGGTCACACAGGGGCTGTTTATGTGGCTGTGGGAGGTGGAGGGTCGATGGCAGAATACACAATCATGGTAGCTATCCGGATGCAGTCCCTGAGCCTGTCTGTGGTGAACAGCTGCGCTGACCATCCTGGGGCCAAGGTGGAGATTTAGGCACAGCAACCTCAGCATGTTTTCAGGAAGGCTGTTGGAGTGCAGTACTGGCATTTACTGAGCACTCACTATATGCCAGCTTCTGCACAAGGTAGTTTGTCAGGGTTTCTCATTTGATCCAAAAACAACCTTAAGAGGGGGCATCGTTTGTGCCCATTATACAGAAGGCAGAACTTAAGCCAAACTTGGGAGCAGAAGCTGGGTTCCAACTCGGCTCCATCATGGGCAAGTTACATAATACCTCTGTGCCTCAGCTTCCTCATTGCAACAGAAGTATCTACTTTGGAGGGTTGTCTTGGGGGTGATGGTGCCTAGCACATGATAAATGCCACATCAATTGTTTGCTCATATGACTAGAGATGAAGAACTGTTAGCAGGGGCTTCTGAGTTGGAAGAAACAGACTCAGGCTTCAATTCCAGGTGCCCGATGTACCACTGCCTGTTCTTCCATGGATTTCTGCTCTCTAGATGGAGCTCTGGGAACATGGAGAACAGCGGGGTTACAGGGAGTCATCCTCAGCCCTACCCCTTGGCCAACCACATCTCCCTGCTGTGTCCCTTGGGCATTTCTCTACCTCCTAGGTGGAAGTCCTTCAGGGTCCAGGAGCAACCTGGACCTTCTGTGTCAGAAGAACATCTGTCTCCTGCTTGACCTGAAGAAGGGCCAGACCTGGGCAGAAAGACTCCAGCAGGTGAGCTCTTCATGTGACAGTGTCAGCACTGGAGTCTTCTTGCTGAACTGCAAATAAAGAGACGTGCTATTTAACAACCCACGCAGTTGCTGGTTTGGGCGCTCTGTCATTCATTTGTTCATTCGTCAGACACTGAGCACCTCACAGACCTGGCTCTGGGGACACATGACTTACAGCCTTGAGGAAGGCAGCAGCCATTCCGGCAATGTGACTGTGGCGATGTGGGTGCTCCTGGAACATAAGAAGGAATGCTGTGTGGCTGGGGCATGGAGAACTTTTTGTGAGAAGCGTGCTGGTTTGTTTCACACATTTAAGTTACCTACTTATTCCTTTTCTAGCACTCTTCCTTTTTAATATAGATTTGCGTTTCTGACCTATATCCTTTTCCTTCTCTTTGAAGAACTTCTTTTAATATTTCTTGCAAGGTAGGTATACTAGTGACAATTTCCCTCAATTTTTGATGGTTGGAGAAAGTCTTTATTTCCCCCTCTTTTGAAGGGTAATTTTGCAAGATACAGAATTCTAGTCTGGCAATCTTTTTTCTTTCAACACTTAAATATTTTACTTCACTCTCATCTTGCTTGTATGCTATCCAAGGAGAAGCTGGATATAATTTCTATCCTTGTTCCTCTATAGATAAGGTGTTTTTCCTTTCAAGAAATTTTGTCTTTGATTTCTGTAGTTTGAAAATGATATGACTAGGCAAAGTCATTATTTATTTTTTATTTATTTTTATTTTATTTTTTTACACTTTCTTTTCTTTTTTTTTTTTTTTTTTAATTGTACTTTAGGTTCTGGGGTACATGTGCAGATCATGCAGGATTGTTGCATAGGTACACATATGGCAGTGTGGTTTGCTGACTCCATCCCCCCGTCACCTACATCTGGCATTTCTCCCCATGTTATCCCTCCCTGACCTCCCTACCCCTCTGCTGTCCCTCCCTTGGCCCCCCCGAAACAGATTCCAGTGTGTGATATTCCCCTCCCTGTGTCCTTGTATGCTCATTGTTCAACATTCGCCTATGAGTGACAACATGCAGTGTTTGATTTTCTATTCTTGTGTCAGTTTGCTGAGAATGATGGTTTCCAGATTCATCCATGTCCCTACAAAGGACATGAACTCATCATTTTTTATGGCTGCATAGTATTCCATGGTGTATATATGCCACAATTTTCTTGTCCAGTCTATCATTGATGGGCATTTGGGTTGGTTTCTGGTCTTTGCTATTGTAAACAGTGCCACTATGAACATACGTGTACATGTGTCTTTATAATACAACTATTTATAATCCTTTGGGTATATACCCAGTAATGGGATTGCTGGGTCAAATGGAATTTCTATTTCTAGGTCCTTGAGGAATTGCCACACTGTCTTCTACAATGGTTGAACCAGTTTACATTCCCACCAGTGTAAAAGTGTTCCTATTTCTCCACATCCTCTCCAGCATCTGTTGTCTCCAGATTTTTTAATGATTGCTATTCTAACTGGCATAAGGTGGTATCTCAATGTAGTTTTGATTTGCATTTCTCTAATAATCAGTGATGATGAGCATTTTTTCATATGTTTGTTGGCCTCATATATGTCTTCTTTTGAAAAGTGCCTGTTCATATCCTTCACCCACTTTTGGATGGGTTTGTTTGTTTTTTTCTTGTAAATCTGTTTTAGTTCTTTGTAGATTCTGGATATTAGCCCTTTGTCAGATGGGTAGATTGCAAAAATTTTTTCCCATTCTGTTGGTTGCTGATTCACTCTAAAAATTATTTCTTTTGCTTTACAGAAGCTCTGGAGTTTAATTAGGTCCCATTAGTCTATTTTGGCTTTTGTTGCCAATGCTTTTGGTGTTTTAGTCATGAAGTCCTTGCCTATGCCTATGTCCTGAATGGTTTTGCCTAGGTTTTCTTCTAGGGTTTTTATGGTGTTAGGTCTTATGTTTAAGTCTTTAATCCATCTGGAGTTAATTTTAGTGTAAGGTGTCAGGAAGGGGTCCAGTGTCTGTTTTCTGCACATGGCTAGCCAGTTTTCCCAACACCATTTATTAAATAGGGACTCTTTTCCCCATTGCTTGTTTTCGTCAGGTTTGTCAAAGATCAGATGGTTGTAGATGTGTAGCGTTACTTTCGAGGCCTTTGTTCTGTTCCATTGGTCTATATCTCTGTTTTGTTCTGAGTACCATGCTGTTTGATTACTGTAGCCTTGTAGTATAGTTTGAAATCAGGTAGTGTGATTTGCTCTTTTTGCTTAGGATTGTCTTGGCTATGTGGGCTCTGTTTTGGTTCCATATGAAGTTTAAGATGGTTTTTCCCAGTTCTGTGAAGAAGGTCATTGGTAGCTTGATGGGGATAGCATTGAATCTGTAAATTACTTTGGGCAGTGTGGCCATTTTCACAATGCTGATTCTTTCTAATCATGAGCATGGAGTGTTTCTCCATTTGTTCGTGTCCTCTCTTATTTCCTTGAGCAGTGGTTTGTAGTTCTCCTTGAAGAGGTCCTTTACATCCTTTGTTAGTTGTATTCCAAGGTATTTTATTCTCTTTGTAGCAATTATGAATGGGAGTTTGCTCATGATTTGGCTCTCTGTTAGTCTGTTATTGGTGTATAGAAATGCCTGTGATTTCTGAACATCGATTTTGTATCCTGAGACTTTGCTGAAGTTGCTTATCAGTTTACGGAGATTTTGGGCTGAGATGATAGGGTTTTCTAAATATGCAATCATGTCATCTGCAAATAGAGGCAATTTGACTTTCTCCTTTCCTCACTGAATATCCTTTATTTCTTTTTCTTGCCTGACTGCTCTGGCTAGAACTTCCATTACCATATTGAATAGGAGTGGTGAGAGAGGGCATCCTTGTCTAGTGCCAAATTTCAAGGGGAATGCTTCCAGTTTTTGCTCATTCAGTATGATATTGGCTATAGGTTTGTGGTAAATAGCTTTCATTATTTTGAGATATGTTCCTTTGATATCTAGTTTATTGAGAGTTGTTAGCACAAAGGGCTATTGAATTTTGTCGAAGGCTTTCTCTGCATTTATTGAGATAATCATGTGGTTTTTGTCTTTGGTTCTGTTTGTGTGGTGGATTACCTTTATAGACTTGTGTATGTTGAACCAGCCTTGCATCCCTAGGATAAAGCCTACTTAATTGTGATGGATGAGCTTTTTGATGTGCTGTTGCAATAGGTTGGCCAGTATTTTATTGAAGATTTTTGCATTGATGTTCATCATGGATATGGGCCTGAAGTTTTCTTTTTTTGTTGAATCTCTGCTGATTTTGGTATCAGGATGATGTTCATCTCATAAAATATTTTGGGAAGGATTCCCTCTTTCTGTATTGTTTGGAATAGTTTCAGAAGGAATGGTACCAGCTCCTTTTTGTACTTCCGATAGAATTCAGCTGTGGACCCCTCCAGACCTAGACTTCTTTTGGTTTGTAGGCTATTAATTTCTGCCTCAACTTCAGCCCTTGTTATTGGTCTGTTCAAGGTTTCAACTTCTTCCTGGTTTAGGCTTGGGAGGGTGCAAATGTTCAGGAATTTATCCATTTCTTCCAGGTTTACTGGTTTATGTGCATAGAGTTGTTTGTAGTAATCTCTGATTGTAGCTTGTATTTCTGTGGAATTGGTGGTGATATCCCCTTTTTTGTTTTTTATTGCATCTATTTGATTCTTCTCCCTTTTCTTTTTTATTAATCTGGCTAGTAGTGTATTTTGTTGATCTTTTCAAAAAGCCAGCTCCTGGATTTATTGATTTTTTGAAGGGTTTTATGTGTCTCTATCTCCTTCAGTTCTGCTCTGATCCTAGTTATTTCCTGTCTTCTGCTAGTTTTTGAATTTTTTGATCTTGCTCCCTAGCTCTTTCAATTTTGATGATAGGGTGTCGATTTTAGATCTTTCCTTGCTTCTCATGTGGGCATTTATTGCTATAAATATTCCTCTAGACACTGCTTTAAATGTGTCCCAGAGATTCTGGTACATTGTGTCTTTGTTCTCGTTGGTTTCAAAGAACATCTTTATTTCTGCCTTCATTTCATTGTTTATGCAGTTGACATTCAGGAGCAGGTTGTTCAGTTTCCATGAAGTTGTGGGGTTCTTAGTTAATTTCTTAATCCTGAGTTCTAATTTGATTGCCCTGTGGTCTGAGAGACTGTTTGTTATGATTTCCATTCTTTTGCTTTTGCTGAGGAGTGATTTACTTCCAATTATGTGGTCAATTTTAGAGCAGGTGAAATATGGTGCTGAGAAGAGTGTATATTCTGTGGAACTGGGGTGGTGAGGTCTGTAGATGTCTACTAGGTCTGCTTGGTCCAGATCTGAATTCAAGTCCTGGATGTCCTTGTTAATTTTCTGTCTCATTGATCTGTCTAATATTGACAGTGGAGTGTTAAAGACTCCCACTATTATTGTGTGGGGGTCTAAGTGTCTTTGTAGGTCATTAAGAACTTGACTTGCTTTATGTACCTGGGTGCTCCTGTAGTGGGTGTGTATATATTTAGGAATATTAGCTCTTCTTGATGCACTGATCCTTTTACCATTATGTAGTGACCTTCTTTGTCTCTTTTGATCTTTGTTGGTTTAAAGTCTATTTTATCAGAGACTAGGATTGCAACTCCTGCTTTTTTTTTGCTCTCCATTTGCTTGGTAAATCTTCTTCCATCCCTTTATTTTGAGCCTATATGTGTCCTTGCGTGTGAGATGGGTTTCTTGGATACAGCACACCAATGGGTCTTGACTTTTTATCCAATTTTGCAGTTTGTGTCTTTTGATCGAAGCCTTTAGCCCATTTATATTTAAGGTTAATATTGTTATTTGTGAATTTGATCCTGCCATTTTGATGCTAGCTGGATGTTTTGCCTGTTAGTTGATGCATTTTCTTCATTGTGTCAGTGGTCTTTACCATTTGGTACTTTATTGAGTGGCTGGTAATGGTTGTTGCTTTCCTTCTTTAGTGCTTCTTTCAGGAGCTCTTTTAAGGCAGGCCTGATGTTGAAATCTCTCAGCAATTGCTTGTCTGTAAGGGATTTTATTTCTCCTTCACTTATGAAACTTAGTTTGGCTCGATATGAAATTCTATGTTGAAAGTTCTT